GCAGCTGCCTCTGGCGTACGGGGTGGGAAACCGGGGCAGGGAGGGACAGTAGGTGGACAGAAGTGAGGAGATCAGGGTGAGGACAGAAGAAGTTAGGAAGTTTCTTGATTTCCTCCTCTTGGATGCTGTGAGGAAGTTACAGAGTATGTGGAGCTTGGTAACGTCTGTCTCATCAGTGGCTGCAAATGCTTCTGAGCTCATTCTGACCTCTCGCAGTCTGCCAGCACTTTGAGGCTACGTCTGGGTTGCAGGACGGGTGCTTTTTGCCGTGTTTCCTGTGGTCCTGGTTCCTTGCTGATCGTGACCGCGCTCGCTCCTGCTGAGGAGGACCACAGGAGGATGCACAGCTGGGACGCGGTGCTCCAGGAGTCGGCAGCGTGGCTCCTTCCGCGGGGCTGGCAGACGGCTGCCCGGCAGGGAAGGGATGGCATTGCTGTTCCTGGCTACCCAGTAGAATATTTTTCATTTTTTTAAGAAATACTTTACTTTCATTGTACTTCTATACCTTCCGTGAGTTTAGGATATTAATTGTGTATATTTTTCTAAAATTGTAATCCAGTCTGTGCCCTTTGTCTGCCTGACTAGCTGTTTGGATGGGAAAAATCCAGCTGGTCAGCTCTCAAGGCATTTTGTTAAGATCAGTCTGGGACAAAATACCACATCAGTATTGTAGAATTGGTACACCTGCTTCATTTTTCAAGGACATTGGATTTAGGAAGAGCAGTCGTCAACTCGGAGTGTTAACGGAAGCTACAGGTGCGTCCTTTGCCAGGACCCGAGAGGGCTGGCAGAAACCCGGGGTGTGCAGGAGAGGGCTTTCGGGAGAAGGTCGGCCGGACAACTGTGCTCTTCCTCAGTATTTTCCATAAGAATGTATCGCAGCCTCTTTTATTGAGGGAAAACTTAGTTTGATGGTTCTGTGCTTCCTGCACAGATATTTAACATACTTCTGCAGGAGGATATTTAACATACTTCTGATGATATTTTTATTGTCCATGTAATGCCTGGAGTATGTGGCTTCTGTTTGCTAGGTCTAGCTGTAATTTTGTAGGTAGTAGCTAGTCGATCATACATGTTAACAACAGCCAGTTTAAAAGTATTTTTGAGAAATTTTGTAAAAGGGAACGGCAAGGCTAACAATCTTTGCCTTCCCAGTCACGTTTTCTGCTGTTGTTTTCAGTTGTGAATTCCCAGGTTAAGCCAAATGAATCGTCCGTGCGGGATGGATTATTCCTAGCAACTGTTTAATAACAGAGTGCATTTAGGAGGAATGTTCAGTTAGTAACAGCTCTTGATGGGTGAGCGGCATCTTTCACGGCAGCACTGTGCGGAATTTTAAGCTCTGAGGCTGAATGATGAGAATTAGGTGCTTAATTTAAATATGGCTAGTTTAACTTTTTCTTTAAAATTAACTCTGTGACTAAAAAGAAAACACTTCTTTGGGTTTCCAGTGGAAAATTCTTTGTGCGTAAATGAGAAGAGCCCCTGGCAAGGAGAGCCTGTTTAAAGATGGAAGTCCCACGTGCTTTCCTTCTGGGGTAACCGTGACCAAAACCGCTTCTCCTTTTCCTCGGTGGCTGTGCCGAGGGTGACTCCGTTTCAGGCTGACCTTTTCTGATACAACGCAGTCAGGGTTTTGTCAGCGCCCGTGGCTCTTCTTATTTGTGGACAAGGAGTCTGAGGGTTGCTGCTGCCCCGTCCCGGTGTCTGCAGGGTGACGGGCGCGGGCCGTGGGCGCTGCCGCCTGCTCCCAGCAAGGAGGAGGAGCAGTGTTTCTCTTTGCCATCACCAGGAACACGTACGTGTGTGTGTGTGTGTGTGCCCACACGCTGCTGTAACGCTGCCTGCAGTACCGCTGTGTTTAGAGCATCTTCCAAACCGTATTTTCCTTTTTCTTTTTTTTTTTTTTT